TACAGCATGCTTACATATAGAAAAAGAAAACAAAGACTCTACATGATACAACAAATATGCACATTCGACCACGTCAAATTTGAAGGGAGACCACAGACTGCCGTTGTCAGGCTCTTAGCTACAAGATTGTTACAAAGAACTCTACATTAGGGCTACAAGCTGCCCTATACAGTCATCAACCTGAAAAATGACGACATATCTTCATTTGGAGACAAGAATTTGGGACTACGGCAACAAATGGCAATGGCCAACCTAACCTAACAAAGGGACAAAAATAACTCTTATTAAACTTTGGACGAACAGCCCGTGTTCAGCATCTAAACATGCATCACAAACCTGCGAGCTGGAAGTTTAGAATCATATTGTTGGTAGAAGTACCGTGTTACAGTATCCCAAGATCCTAATTCTCTCCAAGGATCAGAAGGTTGACTTGAAACCATGAGCTGGATCACTGCTTGAAAAAATGGACAGAAAGTTCCACAAAATATGTAAAGCAAACGTTTCAGTACATATTATGAGGAGAATAAAAATCAGGAGCATTTCATGTTTATCAGCAAGAACAGGTACTATTCACTCTGCCTACAGAGTAGGATAATAAGAATGAGCAGAACCGTGTAGTTGCAAATAGCAGTCACACAAGTATTCTCGTACATTAATAGACCAACTACGAAGAATCTAACCCCTTATGGACAGCAGTATTTGCCTATTTGATTTCTCAAAGAATTAACAATAATCATTTATGGACCACATATTTTTCCTCTGATGACTGGTACGATTCTTCAATAATTTCAGAGACAAAGATCAATAGAATAAGTTTCACTCACCAATTGTTTAAGCAGTTCCCGTTATCAACCTCTCCCGCTCATCAAACTTCTTTACCTTAATGATGCCTATGAGAACCTGAAGGCCGAAAAATGCACACAAGACATATGCTACAATGGCAGGAAACTGAAAAGAAATAGATAACATCAGAATTGAGCATTAGTTAAAATTTGGCAACAGGCAACACGATGTCATATATATATATACCAAAAGCAAATTTGATAGCTTACTCGAATGGAATTAATATACAAGATAGTTGCAAGATTTATTAGGCTTCCAGCACCAACTGCCTGCAAATTAGTCACATTGAAGATCAAAATCAATGGAGTAGATATTATTATAACCATTTCAAACTTATTCTAATATCATTTTATGACATTGAACTTATTATCAAGACCATTCAGATCTTTAGACTCATATTAAACAGCAGCTTACTCTCACGTACAATGACTAATTCTTTAAAGCTAATTACCTGCACGCAGCTTGAATTCAAAACCAAATCATACATTAGAGCATGTCTATTGTTTCAGTCCATCTGTCTCACAAGGCCTGCCTATGTTGGGCATGCCATTACTCCCAAATGATACAGACAAACATTGACACAATATTCTGTCTAACGAGCTGTTCAACTAGTTGAAGTAAACAATGCATATAATTAAAGTAAATTTCTTTTTATTTTGAAAAAGTTTCTGATATAAGACGTAGCACATAAGAGAGATACAGAAACTGTACCTGTGTACTTAGTTAAGAACTTAAGAAGACACGCAGAAAAGTGACCAGACTTTCTTTCTTCTATGGCTATCAAAGTGCTTCATTTTAAATGTCATTAAATAATGTTACTAGGAAAGCTGGTATATTTGATATCTAGATATGTTACACTTATCATCCACATAACTTCGTGCACTTAGAAAATGTGTATAAATCATTGAAGTGAAATCCACTAGTGCTTGGGGATGGGAAGAAAGAGCCAAACACCAACAAGCCTTTAGCAGATATCTTTTGTCTATAGCTGATGGAACCGCATATACAAAAGACAATTTAAATCATAAAAGGTTATCATGCATAGAAACAAATTCCCGAAAAGATAAGTACGATATGTGCAACACTAGATCATGAGCCAGCAGAACTCACATTTCCTACAGTCTTCTGAACTGTTGCGACCCGCTGGAATGCCCTCTCAGATTCCAAAGTCCGAACTCTAAGTTTCAGATCGCCTTGCTCCTATAAATAAATCAGGGACATCCACAAGTGAGAAATTATAACAAATATTCAAAGTAGTCATATTGTGCACAGAATAAATTAATCGGTACCAATCTTTGAATGATTTCAGCAAGCTTTTCAACTCTGTCAGCCTGTCTAAATAAGTTAAAGAACGCACGAGACTGCCTGTCCCATCTATTTCGGAGGTCCTGGAACATTTATAAGTTTGAGTGTAAGAATACATGATTTGTATTAGAACATTATACTATATGACATTTTAATACAGATGGTCCAAGCTTGCCTTTAGAACGACTTCAACTCCAGCTTCACGAAATTTTAGCAATTCCAGTGCGTAGCTACAAGGCAGAGCATCCAAGATTTGTCAAAAACAAAGGGAAGTAAAAGTTGCAAAATCTGGTTTCGATGAAAGTACTTTGAAATTATATTAAATCTAAAATTATACTCACGGTTTGGCAATCTCAGTAATATCAAATCGAGGATCAAGACCCTTCCCAATGCCATCCAATACTGAAAACAGAGAATAAATAGATCTAATTAGAGATGATATATATAAATATGTGCAATAAGCAATGTAAAATGCATGCATATATACATTCTTTCTCCTATGAAAAATGTCTCCACCATATTCCTATTACATTACCTGAAAATGCTCTAACAACAAATGTGAATGTCGCAGGAAATCTGAAGGGTTGGTCTGCTGCAATGGCTAATAAATCTTCCCCTGTTAAAAAGAATGCAAGGTACGAGTAGCAGGCATCAATATGCAGTGAAAAAATGTGCAATAAGATGTGGGTTGCATCAATTTCTGTGGAAACTTTTCACAACTAACTAATCTCAGATTCGGAAATCCAGCTACTGGACAAAAACTGCTTTCCCTTAATTACAGTTCAAGCCCAGACTCAAATTTTACATAATTTAAAATAGAAATGTTAACACAATCAGGCAAGAACACATTTAATTCATAAGACCCCTGATCACATATATCATTTTAAATAGCCCAGGTGGCTGAACTTTACCCAAAGGCCTAAGTAACTAGTTTCATAACTTCATATCTGTAGGGCATCCACATAGATAGGGAAGACCTTAAAATATTATTTGGACTTTACCCGATAAGGAACTAATAAGAATCAAGTCTAACCAAATCAGAAAATATTTGAGATATGAATAGAAGATCCAGTGTTTGTTAATTTACTTATTCAATTGTAAACGAAATAAAGTAAAGAGGACAAACTAACTTATACATACATATGGACTGAGAAGTCTTTTAAACTACTAGTTAATCCTAGAGACTTTCCTCACTCTGTCTCAAACTCGACATGCCATGAATTGGTCCCAGCATAAATGATCAGCCATGAGAAAGGTGTCAGGTTCTTATTACTAAATTAAACAAGAAGCTAGACACTGTAAAGGTATATACAATTATTTCTATCCGCAAAAAAATGTCTTTAAATGCAGGACTTTACTTAAACTCTAATGCCTATCATGCTATTGATTGCAGACTGAGCTGAGCCTCCAAATCAAAAAGTTAGTTGCGAAATTCCAAAACTATAGTCAGGGATAGAGCCGTATCATGGATACTAGATTTTAAACCAGGTGAATTACCAATTGCAGCAAGCCTTTCCTTCTTTTTCACTATCCTTTCCTCCTTGCTCAATGGCTTTTTAAACCCAAGTTCGGCTGTTGCCATTTCTTTCTCTTTTCGCTGTGCAGCAAGACGCTCTTCAAAACTGCAAAATTTGAGCATTCAGAAAAGAATTCAAGAAATAGAGTAAAGATTTGAAACTTGTTCTGCTGAGACTTATCTACCTCTCACTTTGAAATCACTAATCAAAGTAAACAATGTATGTTTTAACCTAACATCTTACTTACATCCAAGGATAACAGGCTGTCAGTCAATGAAAATTATGCCCCGCCCATAAGACAATTTACAACTATAGAAATAATAGAATCATTCGTTCATGACTAACGCAAGCATGACAGCAGACCAACCTAAACAAAAACTCCACTCAAAACCAAAAGATGATATAGTTGGTCTTATGTTGCACTTTGCAAGTTTATGTATCACTAGCAGTCATATTTATATAATTCTGATTTGCCACAGAAGCCTTATTGGCCAAGTAGCTCTTGAATTGCACAACATCAGGGAATTTAAAATTTTAACCCAAAAAAAACGACTAAACAAAAATATTAATAAGCGAAAAAAGGACCCATGCTATATTCAAATTTTCTGTTTCCTCTCTATCGAAAGCACCTGTTAAGAAAGAATAGTGCTGTTCGTCTCACAGCTGTCATATCTCCAGTAGGCACAAGAACACCCATCTGAATCATTGCCTGAAGGACCTGCACCAGTATAAATAGTTTCAATCAATTGGTGCATCATAGACACAAAATGGAACCATGGTATAATTCATTCAAGTTAACTTTAATTTCGTAGCCCTAAGCATGATCAGAGGCTACTATCCTTCAAAATTTAAAAGGAAACGATTAAAAAACCTTATCTGGATCCTTCTCATAAACTCCATAAAATGTTTCCAGCAAACCTTCTCTAATGTTTGGACTGATACTGCAAGAAACAAATATGAAAAATGCATTCAGAAATAAATAAAAGCTTCAGAGTGGTTATTGGTCGATTGTAGATTAGCAAGCACAGTCAAGGAAATACCTTCCCATCATTCCAAAATCATAAAAAATCAATCTTCCACCATTGACATCATCCACAGCAATATTTCCAGGATGCTGCATCAAGGGTAAAACAAAGTTGTGGTTACACATTGGCAGGTGATATTAAATGCCAGTATATGTAATCAAGGAACAGGAAGACTGCAGCTTTTTCGTGTGCAACATAAAGATTGATCCCTATAAATTTGAGAAAGTGAGAATCAGAAAAGCTCACATCTTACAGCTATGAGATCAGAGAACATGAATCTAATCATTATTACTCCAATGTGACAGCCATGAGGGATTACCTATGCATCTAAGAATGACCTGTTTCATTTAACTATTATGCTCATTATTTCTTTCCTCTTATGATACAATTGTCTCAGAGATTGCATTTTGGACTACACAATACAGCAGACATGTTTAGTATTTTCCCTGAGAATGTGTAAGTGAACAATCAGAGCGAGGATGGAACTACAAAAGGGGCATAATGTCAAATACTATGACCGTGGATGAGGAGTGGTACTCCTCTCACATCCACATCCACATCACACTTCTGAGGTTTTCGCAGTATTAATTATTAAATACAAGGCAAAGAATAGATATGGAAATTTTAAAGCAAAAATCCCCCTCTCATTGTGCCAAAAGCACTACCAAGACTAACCTGAGACCTGCACAAACATAACCACTATCTCAGCTAAGGATAAAACCAACATTAGTGCTACCGTACTTTTACCATACCACTGCCCCAATAGTTCTTGAGAGTGAGAGAAAATCAGGCATATCTCTTCAACTACCACCAGCCGTTGCTGTAGCCTATTATTGGAACCACTGCTTCCTTGCCATTATATCCATCAATGCTATGACCCTATACTGCTTTTCTGCTCCACCCTTTTTTGCTTCTACTGTTTTTTTTTTTTTTTTGCACTTCTATTATGCCAATAGAACCAAAACTATTCATGTCCATGCTCACATCGTTCACACCTAAAATTGCATGAAAGTTGGTTCCTAACAGCCCTGTACTCGGTATGAGGTGAGGTTTGTGCGAGTAAAATCCACTGGAGGGATTTTTTTTTAATCCTCAAACTCCATATGAAATTCCAATTTTATAAGATTCCCTTATTGACATCTTAAACATGCGTGAGCACCAAAATTTGAATAAAAAAGAAAACACTCACAGGATCGGCATGAAAAAATCCATGAGACAGAATTTGCTCTAAGTACGATTCAACAGCATATCGACCCAACCTGAGGAAGTTCAAATTGATATAAGAAACATCAGGAGTGATAAGAAGAGGTCATATGTTAACACGATTTTAACCAGGACATCTTAAACATGTGTGAGCACCAAAATTTGAATAAAAAAGAAAACACTCACAGGATCGGCATGAAAAAATCCATGAGCCAGAATTTGCTCTAAGTATGATTCAACAGCATATCGACCCAACCTGAGGAAGTTCAAATTGATATAAGAAGCATCAGGAGTGATAAGAAGAGGTCATATGTTAACACGATTTTAACCAGGATATATAAGACATGAAATTATATTGACCTTTGCCGATCAATGCCCAATTGATCTATAGCTTGTATCTTGTTAATTTTGATCCCTGGGACGTACTCCATTGTCAGAACCTAATAATAATAACGCAGGAAGTTGGACTTTAGAAAGACAATAATAATAATAACAAACAAGTTAATGTTTTACCACCTAAAAATTAATTATTGCTGGAAGCTTAAACCTGTGGTGTAGTGTATTCCCATACTATTGTTGGGACTTTAACATAATCCATGTTTCTGAAGTTACTTGCAAATAGTTCAGAGTTAGCAGCTTCCTTGGTGTAATCAATCTCCTGAAAAACTTCAAAGTTATTAGCTACCATTTACTAAATAGTAACACAAAAATTGTATTAAAAAAGAAAAGGTTAAAGCAATCAAGGGGGATCTCAATACCTCATATAAGACATTTGCGCACTCATCATAGATAGCAACCCAATCCCTCTTCGCACCATCAGACTTTGGGTCAATTTTTTGTAGATATTCTGCAATTACCTGGAAAAGAAAACGACCAATATGTCGAAGCTCATCAGAATTTCCATAGGGTCAAGAGGAACCTTTCATGTTTCATGTACAACAAAGTAAAACAAGAAAATGCACACACAGGAGAACAAAACTGAGTAGAGAAACCATTATCAGTTTCTAATGATACAGTTGACATAGTAAATTAATGTATGCCAACAAGGACATAAAATGGAAATTCACAACTTTGGCAAGTTGATCAAAGTGGGGGAAAAACATAAAAAGGAATCCAACCATGATAAGATAAATCCATGATAACCTAAATTACCCCGAGCATTGCCCATGACCCTAGCTCAATTGGCATGGATGGGTGGGGTGAGGGTAGACCCTAGGTTCCAATCTCCTTGTGAGCAAATATAAAACATTTTAAATAAACCCAGAATTAGTTACTAATCTAGAATTGTAAGCCAATATGAAAAACTGACCCTCAGGTTCTTAAGATCAATATTGAAAAGATCCTTCAGTCCAGGCCTCTGTACTTTAACAACAACTTCCTGTCCCTTCAATCTTGCACGGTGGACCTGACCTGCATAAAGGATGATACCACATTCTCATATTTCATCTCTTATCAAATTCATAACCAAAAAACAACTAAGCTATAGATTCATTTTCTGATTTCTCATTCTTTTTAAAGAAAAAAGAATATTAATGTGTTGATTGCACAAATTTCAGTGTCAGAAATCATAGAAATGAAATAAAAGGTACCAAGACTTGCGGCTGCTATTGGTTCATAGTCAAACCGATCAAATATATCTTTCAAAGGGGCACCAAGCTCTTCTTCAACAATAGAAACAGCTGTGTCTGATGGGAAAGGAGGAACTTGATCCTGAAATTAAACTGACTTAGTTATGCCTTAAGAATCAACAATTTACAAAAGATAGGCAACTGAGCATGTTCGAGAAAGGATAAGAAAAAACCAAAAATGCCTCTCCTTTCAAATAGCTGATTGGATAAAAAAGTATATAAAAAGTAGAAACAAAAGACAACAAATGGGAAAATTTGAGACACTAAGCTAGGTTTACTTTATGGAAGAAAACATACATTGTTGTTACATATTCGGCATGCTCAAGTCAAACGTGGATAAAAGTTAGACACTATGCTAGTTTACATGATTAAAAAAACATATATTTCATGATGTAGTTACATATTCAGAAATAGAGTCAAACGTGTAATAATCTCTCAGCACTGTATAGTACTAACCCATACAAAAATTATTAGATTGCCATATTAAGCAAAATGCAATTTTAGGTCATCAAGTACTGAAAATAAAAATGTGATTTCTTCTTCTACCTTCTCAAAAGCTCTAATTTTTCTTTTCAATTGTTGATAAGTAAGATTTTTTATTTATTAAAACACCTGGTGCCACAACCCAGGCACGTAAGAAGGTGGAGAAATCTATGTTTACCACCTAACAAATCCCATCTTCTTGCATGGCCAACTTAGGAGTTGTTACACATTAGGAGTAGGATACAAGAACAGAAGCATACAGAAGGAATAATGCAATCTCAATGACATTGAATTAAAGCATATCCAACCTGAAGTTCTGACAATTGATCAACATATTCTTGAGCAAGAATGTCCACCCTTGTGGAGAACTGCTGGCCAATTTTGATGAATGTTGGACCTAATCTCAAAATGTTCTCCTTCAGCCACTTGGCAAGGGCCTTACGCCTCAACGCTTTCTTTTCCTCTGTCATTCCCCCTGAACATTTTTTTCCCTTAAATTAGCTGCAAGCACCAAATAATAGAGAGTCCAGCGACCTTAAAGATGGATGCCTAGTTACAAGGTTCTAGATTCCAACAAAAATCAATTTATGCCGAGAAGAATAACTGCTGTGAGCCATTCTTTTATGAGAAACAAAAAACAAAACTATTAGGCAGTGTTATTATCATATACGCAAACTGCTCAGCCCATCCATCATTTTTTGTTTGTTTTTTTCTAAGTATTGTATGGGGGAGTCGGCACTCCCACAAAGGCAGAACCCCGTCCTTTTTTTAGAGTGTTTTCCATGACA